CATGTTCCAGGTATCTCTGAACCTCAGATTGCCAGAAGATAGGATTGGATGACAGCATTGAAGGAGAGTATCACTCAAAACTACCCTTTTCTGTTCATTCCCTCTGAAGCATCTGGCACTGCCCACTTGTCAGAGATGGGATATGGGCTAGATGGACCATTAGTCTGACCCAGCATGGCCAATCTTATGTAACATATTGAACTCTAATACTTTGCCTCCCGAGATCTAAAGTGCTTTGGAAACAGCCTCCTTACTCTTTTCTTTTAGTACCTTTCTGTTTCTTCTGCTAGATTCAATATCTCTTTAGTCGATAAGCTGTGATCTATCTCTCCCTTATTCCCAATTTCTTCTTCCTCCTCTTTGTCTTCTGGATTAATTTGAGTGAGAACTATTTGCATAAACAGAGTGACTTTTAATGTCAAAGATACAAGTGAAGTGGTTAAAGAAATTAAAATGCATTTGTTCATCCTACTATGCTTCAGAAACTTTCATTTGTCGATTTCTTTAGCATCCTGCCCCAAATCATCTGATTTTCAATTAAATAAGTCCATTGTGGATCTATTTTTAGAAATGGCCAGTAGCAAGACCCAGATAAGTAGTGAAATCTACCACCTTTCTATATTCACAGGAGCGAACATATTGCTGCATGCTCAAATGGAAAATGCATGAGGAAATAAATCTTTAATCTTTTCCCCTTGTCCTTCTAGATATGGCAGAAAATCAAAAGGAACCTCTAGATGTTGGCTTTGTTGCCCTATTTAGCAGAATCCAACAATATTTATTTCTCCCTAGACTTATCTTAGTAAATTTTGTTCCCTGTAGCATATGAATTAATTCATAGCCACCTTCTGCTAAGCTATGATAAGCAGGAAGCAGCAGGCTGTCACTAGAATGAAATCTGTAATAGCTATACTTTATGCAAATACAAAAACCCATGCTGACTGACCAGCAAGCAAGACAGAATGCTGCATTCCTCACCATCTAAGAACAAGATACCCCTGTGTATGAACACTCACGGTGACTTCTTTACTCCAGGTAACTATTTTAAATGGGTAAAGATCTCACACAATTTGTAGGGCAACACAAACAAGTGCCAGTATCATCCTTGAGTACCTTTTTAGCATCTATACAGAGTAACTGATGTTTCTGACTTGCTTTCACCTGCTTTCTCTCTTTTCCTTCTGCCTTCCTAATAACAAATGTAGAGCCCATTCATTAAATTTTAGGTTTTTTTATTCACCTGGTGACTTGAGCTGTGCATCTGAAACATGACTCCCATCTATTATCATTCTGGGTTTCAATGGCATGGGAAATTCAGTATTGTGTCCTTTGGTCTCTTAAAACAGAACGCAGACCACATGATATTGGAGCTCTGCGTGCTCTGTAATTATGGCCAAACAGCTGCAATTTTCTTGAAGTATGAGATCAGAGAGTTATAAGAAATGTGAAAGGGTAATCTAAATACAAAATAAACTGCCACAGCATTAGGATGCACCCTTGGAGAAAGCACAGAGCACTCTTAACTGATTTGCTCTTGGATTGACAACTTGATCTCTCTTTTGCTGCAAAACCTGAGCCAGCTGTTCATTATCCCTCCTTTCTGGGTTACAGCGCCTATCTTAGATGAAAACTGTAGTGTCATGATACAAGTAAAGTTACACTCAAAGAGCACAACCCTGCAGCCTCTCTCCACACAAGACTCTCTCACACTTCAGTGAGAGCTCTGCAGACAGACAGATTGCAATAATGGGAAAGAACCTCTGCTACTGATTTGAAGGGTTCTGATTTAGAAAGATGATGCTCTGCATCAACACAAAAAATATTTGTAATTGCAATCTCAAACTCATTGCTGTCTACTATTGGCAACTAACCATTCATTGGCATGTTGTGGGTATGGGATCCTTTCTCCTCAAAGTCCTGATAGGGTGCATCTTGCTGCTTTAAATTTTCTGTTGAAAAAAAGTAGCACTTGTTTCTTTACTGCTTCAGATATTGTTTCAAAATTAATTCCATGTTATTTGGGGCAGTGTGTTACTTTTTCTATTTGCGTGCAAGCTAAACAATATGTAATCTGAAACTGACCCATAATTTAATCTTACAATTTGGCATAAAATCACAAGGTACCTTCTCTGTGCCAACCTCCAATTTCCTTGCTTTAGGATATGAGGTAACAAATGGACAAGGTGTACATATATATATACATATATATATTGCCAACCACTGTGACCTAATAAATAGAAGAGTCTTTTGAGGATGTATTTGCCCTTTGTTTGGGAATACAAAAACATTAAATTATAATTCTCAATTATCTGAATGTCAGAAGTGTGGGACTGAGGTGGGGGAGATAAAGGAAGTAATTTTGTATAACCAAGGGAATAGTTGAGCAAAACAATGGAAAATTTTGCACTGTATTTTCTGTCTGGAGGTATATGAAAATAGGGGAAGAAACTTAAATAATTTAGGATGAGCTCTTCAATAATGCCTGAGGGATTTGGATGCCCAGCTCCCATTAGTTTTAATGGAGAATAGGCATCCAAATCCCTTAGGAATCTTTGAAGATTTCAGCCTTACTTCACATGTGGAACTTATTTCAATGTTAAATTATAGCAACACTCAGCAACTTGACTGTCATCCTCATCAGGATTACTGGTCACAATGTTCTGTGATGTTTGTGAATCTGCCAGGTCAGGAGCCTTAAGGCCCAATTCATTATGAAGCTTGGTGCCAATTATTTAAGTTGTTGACATCTTAATTTGTTACTCATCTTCTGGCAACAGCTGGGTTGAGATCTCCCATATGGTCACCTATGCATTTTGTATTAGTGCATCATGCTGGGAAATCCTAATCATCCATAGGAGGACAACCCTGGATATAAAATGTAATTGACAAGCCCCAAAACATTTTGGTTTTAACGCTGCTTACCGATTTCATCAAGTAGCTCCTGGGCTGGTGGAGGCAGCTCATTAATAAAGTGGTCTGATGCCTGGGAGAAAGCTGGGCTCGAATCAGCTGGAAAAAAAATGTCCAATCAACTAATAGTGATGAATAACTATAATACAAGCTCTGATTACGACAACATCTAACAAACCTTCCCTGAGCTAATTTAAAGCTAGACATAAAGCTAGACTTGCAGTTACAGGCCTCAATTTTGTGGATGCAATTTGGAGCCAACAATTATTTGCACCTACAATTTAGGTCTATCACTGTAGGTGTCCAAATTCTTAATCTGCAGGTGCAAACAGGAAATCTGGGATCTGAGTTACCTAATACAATCATTTGCAAGTGAAAAACTGCCCACTGTTCTCTGCCCCTGCAAAAGTCGAGATCTGGTTAAGGCCAGGTAGGAAACGTGTTCCTTACAATAATGCAGCTGTGAGATTTCTTTAATAACCTGCTGTACCTTTCCGTAAGTCGCTCTGCTGAGTGGCAGGAAATGGGTTACGAGATTCTTTCCTGGCCTTTCTCAAAAGTGAAGAAGCACAGAGTGCTGACAAACCACTCTGTAAAAGACCATGTATAAATGAAGCATAGGAGTATAAACTGTTTTTCTGTGTTCTTCTCCTCTGATAAACCCAAGATGAGAGGAGGCAATAATCAACTAGCATAAAGTTCATCTGTTCTATTCTTCACACTGGCCCATAACCTCAGAGGCAGATCATGCGCTCAGTGTGCAGCACAGAATACAAACAGGAAGACAAGGAGCAAATGCAGCAGCCACCCTTCAGACAAACATTGTGATGGGTCTCCTTAGCGTTCTACCAGTCCTTAATGATACTATCAGATTATCCCATTTTTATCTGTTTTAACCCTTCATAGTACCATGATCAACATCCTTCCAGCCACAGACAACTGGACAGGACTCTGTCAGGAGGCCAGTTTTGTCATACCCTGAGATGAGTTGAGCCCATTAGTCTAGGCTAAAGGATTCTCTCAGAGAGAGAGAGAGAGAGAGAGAGGAGAGAGTGTGCATGCAAATCCATAATTATAAGAGCTAGTAGTGACTAGATACAAAAATGTCCCAGTAATATACACAAGGAGGAAAGTGTGTAACCACAGACAAGACCATGTTTTCAAAATGGAAATAGGGGCTTAGTACCAAAACTTAATTCCAGAGGGATTTTTCAGGAGGGTAAGTGACAGCAATGTAAATTTCTCTGCAATGCAAGTCAAGACAGAATAGTGCTGTTAATGTATTTAATGAACTCCAGCGATCAGCCCTGCAAATCTAAAGCTGCAGCGCTGACCTGAGGACAGTTAATGTGGCTGCCAGTGTTCTGGATGAACAAACCGTAATTTAATCTTTAAATGGCAACCTCCCCAATGAATAACAATAAGAAAGGCATTAAGGCAACTGTTTATATATAATCCTCTTGAATAGCAGTCAAACTAATGTTCTGGCACCAGAATATTTTCAGCTCCAAAAAGATCAGTGGAAAATGCTAAGGTTTCCTTGGAAATATGGTGTCTCTTTACAGTGAGGTTTTTTTGACAAAACAGAACCGATAATGTTACGCCAATCCTATGCGTAGTAGTAAAAGGACAAATTAAACCCTTTAATATAATGGTTTTCTGAATGCTGTGAACATCCAAACAACCCTTATGCCCAGGCTGCTTCAATTTGTAACTTGTTTCTTAAGAAACCATTCTTCTTTGCCTGCACATCCCTCCCCAGCCCCATTTTAAGACACCCTTCCTAAGTGTAACTTGAAATTTACAAATCTGAAAACTCCCACCTCTTTCTGAGCAGATGTAATTCTCACCCTCACCAAGACAAAGATCAAGGGGTTTATAAATCAGCTGCAAACTCTACAGTAATGATATCTTCTGAGATACCATCTTTCTACATACACACAAGTCTTTTGGATTGAGAGCAGGAAGGGACTGATCTTAGTACCAAGAATTCCGTTTCATTCTTGATCAAACTAACTGCTCAGTGCACTCCAGATCAAGCAATATAACAGCTAATTTCTAGGAGAGCTCAGATTCAGTGTAGGATTTTACTTTCCTCTTTGCATTTCTATATACTGAGCTGTGTGAAACGTTGATGGGTGAGTTGCACTGAGGAGTGCCTAGCAATAAAATACCAAAAAATAAGACAGATGAAACAAATTACTTTCTCAATTTTATCATGTCCTTCATAGCATACCAAGCCTATCTTGGGTTCACAAAATGTTTGAAGATATTATCATACACAATTTATACACACAAAGCATGTTAACATTCTTAAAAATAGAGGGAGACATCCTGAGCCACGTGAAGTCAATAAGTTTTGTCATTGACTCCAACAGAGCTAGGATTTAACCCAGAATCTTTACAAAACTATATGACTCCATATAAGTATCACTTCTTGCAGTTATATTAAGGCATTTTGAAAATATATGAGAGGGGAAAGAGTTTAGGAATTCAGCTGACATAAAGGAAGTACAATTTCCTACACTTACAGGCTCAGTCAATCCAGAGAAGTAGGCTTCTGAAGAAAGGAAGGGGGTTTCTGAGTTCTTTCCCTTTTCACGGGCTGTAATGAAGCTACTAGACACTGTTAGGGAAGTCTCCTGAGTAGCCCAACAAGAGGTATCCAGGGGAATTTCATGGCAGTCTCTGCATTTCTTGATGGTTGATGACACTTTTTTCCCTGTGAAAAAAAGGCAAGAGAAAAGCTAGCATGTGGACTTTTCTTTTTATTTTGTTGTAACTAAGCTGCTGTTGCATTTTAATATACACAGAGTCAGATTTTTAAAGAAATCAGGCATGTAATTGCATGGTTAATTCCATATGTTGTTGCACACCAAACTCTGAAAACTCTTTGCCCACAATAGTTGCTCCCTAAACAGATATTCAGTGGTATTATTGCTGATTGTGACTGGGATCTCCAGTTCATCAATGACAAAGAGGACACCCATTCATGAATCTTTGACTACTCAACCGATAGAGATACTGAGTTAAGGAATATGGAGCAAGGTAAAGCAACATGTTATTTTTTAAAATAATATTTAAGCTCAATAATCAAAATGTAGTGGAAATCTTGACTCCTAGCCCCAAAGGGTTGAGTAATTCTCTGATCCTCTCCTCTCTGCAGTTACCTGGGCTGAGTGGAGTGCTGACACTAGTTGGTGCATGACTCACTCTGGGTGTTTTACAAGTTATATCCTTACAAGAGTTCTCTCGCTCACATGAAATACTGGACAAATCCTGAATATCTGTCAATGATCTAGAGGATTGATAGTGAAAGAGAGTCAGATGGTTAGAAGATCTATTTTTAACTGTTACCTCCTTACACATTTTGTGTTACTACATCATACTACTGTACTTTCAGGTTCTAGAATGTTGTTTAGAATTGTTTAATCTTGTTTGGTTTTCTAGAGGGAAGTGAGAGACTCCTTATGACAGCTGCATGAGGAGTTCTCAAAAGGCTACAGAATACCCAGTCCAGAGATCCAGAAAAGCTTAGAAAGAGAAAGGATAACTTAGCTACCGACCTTGAGTTTCTTTTCAAAACCTCTTCCCTGCAATAATTCTAATCTACAAGGTGCTCAGTAGTAGGTTACCCCTCTACAAGAGAATGCTAACAAAACTGTCTCCACAGCTCAGGAAAGGATCTCAAGACTTAACGAACAAAAGAGACTTCAGTGGAACACAGACTAATTTGGCACTCTTGGTTCTTGCAGCTTTAGTCTTCCTCCAAGTGAATTACTTGGACGAAGTGAAACTTACATACATATACTCTAAAGAGACCTTGGTGTCTTCTTGAGGACTTAAGTGCTTGCAGGACTGGTGCCAAACTGAGGAACCCAACATCCCCACCAGCTATATTCTGAAGTTTCCCCTTAAGACTGTGCTTTAATAAGCTTTGTTGATCAGAAGGGAAATTTCAGCTGTGGACCATTGTCTCAGAAGTTTATATGTGATTTTTACCCATTTTTTTTTAAAAAGTTCGCTTTTCAATTTAAAATCAAAGTCCAGAAGTCCATGCTGCCAAGTGTTCCTGTCCTACCAAAATAATAGGTTAAAAATCTCCATCACATTATTTGGGATCTATATTTGTTTGCTGTGAAAGATATTTAACTGGAAACTAATTATTTAAAGTTATTTTGTTTGAATCTTCAATTTAATATGTTCAGCAGGAACAGTGATACTTTCACTTCTATGCACAACACCCACGGACATTCTATTTCGTTAATTTAATTACTCATGAATATAAAAATACTTAGAAGTAAGCTAAGGTCTACTGTAGATGTTTGATTTTTTGTACCTACACACCCTGCTTACCATAATAAAATATTATCTCTGCAATTTGCATGGCTTCCTGTTTTTGAATTTCTGAATTTTTGAATCTGAACATCACATTTTCTTACTTTATATAAACAGAAAAATCTTATAATGGTAATGGTTGATTTGCTGAAGTTTCACTATGAAACAATGTGTGCCCTTACATATCTTTCTCTTTGAACTCTTTTGGTGTCTCCTTAGATATCATTTCTTGTGATGCTTCAGCACTGGAAAGAGAAAAAATTAAGAGCACATATTCATCTATTCTCTTGGAAAATCATGAAAATAAACATTAAAAAAGAGCATAAAGGAAACTGAAGAAACTTAAAAGACTAGTTCTGTGGGGCTAGTGTGAAGCTCATCAAAATCAGAACTTGCTTAAAGTCCTGAAGCATAGGTATAGAGGAGTAGGAGAAAAGCTGATGTACACAGTAGATATGAATCTGTACTGTATCTTACACAATCAATGTATGCATTATAAATGCCAGTCATTTCAAACAAAACTATTTGAACATTAAATCAAAACTTGTGTAAGACTTTTCGTTACTTCCTTTTCCCCACCTTTTGTCCGTCTTTTCTATATTCTAAGCTCTTTAGGATTCTTTCTTATTAGGTATATGTACAACACCTAGTGCAGTGGGGCCTTGAGCTTGGCTGATGCCTCTATATATTATTGTAATATAAACAAATGAGAATAATGGAAACAGAAACACTGCACCTGACAGTTAAACATGGCTGCAAGACTCCAAACACTGAGCTATTAACCACAGACAGGGGTCATGTGTCCATGTCTACTTCAAATTCTGCCTCCTCCCATCCAGAGGAAGAGAGGTGGACTTCCACAGAGAAGGCAGGGAAACCATCCCTGTGGCCTCTGTGCACCTCTGCACCCTGCTCTTGATCTTCCCTCTCACAGAAGCTGTGCTGCCACTGGCTATTACATTCACTAGCTACACCCCATTCCTCCATGAAGGTGCAGAAGGGGACAGAAAGCTTCTTGAGTCATCCTTGAATAAGGCCCCTACTCAGCTTGAATCATTCCAAGTAACAGCCCAGCAGTGAGAAACGGTGCATACAAATGGGATATTGCATATGGACTTACCACCCTGCGCCCCACATACCCACACATTAACTCTTCCTTATTTTGCATAGCTTTGTGGATTTTATGGGGTGTACTATAGTACAATCCTTTTGACCAGTGTGTGCTGTACAAGGCATGCTCTCTACTATGCAGCAAACTTGGCCAGCCAGTTACTTAAACAGCAAACTGGTACAAAATGCAGTACTAATTCAGGTGGAGTGAGTCTCTGCCCGAGCTTACCTGCCCACTCCCCTCCCATACCCAGCTCATCCAGGATGCAGATTAAAGCAAGGAATTGCCATCTGTGAATAGGGTCTGACTTGTTCATGGCAAGTCCAGTAAGAGATGAAATCCAACAGCAGGCCCTCAGGCAGCAAAGCCTTGGGAGCCATTGCAATATTATTTGAAATGTAAATAAAAACTCAGCAATACGGTTTCAATTAAAAGCCAAGCTCTGGCTGTGCCTCTGTTTGTAATTTATCAGGTGGTTACAGGTTGCAGAAGTTTTGCATTTCAAATGTATTAAACCAAGCAAAAGAACATGAACCAACAAACCCCTGTCCATTGCGCTCGTCTATTGCATCCTTCCCCTACCACACACACCTCCTTCTATTTCAAATGCTGTGGGTCAGGAGCCATGTCTCTCTTTAGGTTTCTACAGCACTAGCACGACCACAATAACAAACAGTGCCACCTGAGCTGCAATATTAAGGGCTGGTCTACACTGGGGGGGGAGTGGGATCGATCCAAGATACACAATTTCAGCTACGCGAATAGCGTAGCTGAAGTCGAAGTATCTTGGAACGAATTACCTGGGGTCCACACAGTGCGGGATCGATGGCCGCGGCTCCCCCGTCGACTGTGCTACCGCCGCTCGCTCTGATGGAGTTCCGGAGTCGACGGTGAGTGGTTCGGGGATCAATATATTGCGTCTTAATGAGACGCGATATATCGATCCTAGATACGGCGGGTAGTGAAGACGTGCCCTAAGGCACAACACACGCCAAGAGCTCTTGATCTTAATTACCTGGTATTAGTCTGTTTAATTTGTCCAACCTATACTTAAAATTTTCCAATCATGGGAATTCCAAAACCTTATCTGTTTAAGATGGTGGCATTTCAGTATATGTACTACATCTAACATACATAGAATTATTTTTCCTCTTTTAATCATAACTCCCTCATTAAGCAAAGACAGCGATAGTAACACAGTAAAAGGTAAAACCTCATCCATCAGGCTTGTGAAAGCACTTCTAATATTTCCTGGCTAGAAAATACATAGATCACCATTTAAAAAAAACACCGTGGACAGTTTATTTAAGCATTAGGTATTTCAGCAGGATTAATAAAGAGAGAGCATGTTCTGTATAACCTAATTTTTGTTTGAAGTGGCATAATAAGTTTTTCTACCTGGCTACAGGAGTATGGTTGACTTGATTCACTCTCACTTCATTACTGCCAAGGCCTTTTACTGCTGCGTTGCACATAAATATTTTCTCTCCTGAATACAAATAGCAAATGTTCCCTGTTATTGGGTTTTCAAATAAAACAGTGGGACATAACTTACTGAACAGGAAATTACAACTTTATTATATTTTCAGTTCTTGTGGCCTCTGTTGTGGTTGTTCTAAGAGACAAATGCATTTTTAAAGATGCATTTTCATAAACATATTCCAGCTGCCAGCCATCCTGCCAATGGGGATTGAAGATATTGAAACATTTACAAATCCTCATTGACTAAAGACTGACAAAAGAACAGACATACCATGCTTGTCTTTGCATTCCAGATATATTATTTCAGATCTAACAGGTCTCACCCCCAAGGGAAGTCTGGCAGTCAGAATATTAGCGTAGATATAAAAACTCTAATTCGATTTCCATGTCTCTTGATAGTACATTACGTGAAGCTGCTAACTCAGCAATAGGTACAAAAGAAATTGGTCACAACAGATTTCTGGCTGCAGTGCTACAAGTGAATGATCAAAATGTCACAACTCCAATAATTCACTGATTACCATGTATGGGCCTGATCCTACAAGATACCATGCGCCCTCAATTCCCATTAAACTCACTGGAAATGGCGGCAACCAGGCCCAAATGAATCCAGTTTCAGCTTCCTACTGGGAAAGTTGCTGATTAAATACACCTCTACCTCGATATAATGCTGTCCTCAGGAGCCAAAAAATATTACCGTGTTATAGGTAAAACCACGTTATATTGAACTTGCTTTGATCCACCGGAGTGTGCAGCCCCGCCCCCCGGCGCACTGCTTTACCGCGTTATATCCAAATTTGTGTTATATCGGGTCACGTTATATTGGGGCAGAGGTGTATTAGGCCTGCCAACATTTGGCAGTCCTGCACCACAAAAGTAAGGACACGGGAATATCCACTGCAAGGAGGAAACACAAATAACAAGCATATATTTAACAGTGTTATTGTAGCTATGTTGGTCCCAGGATATGAGAGAGACAGGGCAGGTGAGGTAGTATATTCTATTGGACCAACTTCTGTTGGTGAAAGAGACAAACTTTTGAGCTTCACAGAGCTCTTCCTCAGGTCTGAGGAAGGTAACCAGAATGTCTAAGCTAAGCATTACCTGACCCTGTATCAGTAGAGGTTGATTTCTGTACACAGGCTTCTGGGGTTACTTTTAACTCATCTTCAGAACTTGAGGTCTGAAGAGACACAATGCATCAAATTAAATTTCTCACAGGCAAGCTGTAAAAGGAGAACTCTTGTCCCTGTACAATGTACACCCTAATCAGTGTGGAAAGAAGCAAATCTTTCAGGAGCTTTTCATTTTTAGGTGCAATAATGAACAGCATGCATTATATCTGACATCCTTCACAAATAATTTCATCTTCTCTAGGAAATGAATAAAAACTGTCTCCCAAAGATGCAACACTAAATGAAGAGTGCTGGGAGGGGAAGACTTAGTGTAAGAGCAGCCAAAAAAATTTCTTAGTCTAACAGCAGAGTTTTTAATGTTAAGGTTACACAAAAACCTTAATTTCCCTGTAAAAAATGAGCCAGGAGAACATGCTTTTTTTTTTAGGATTGGGCTCACTGTTAAGAGGAACAAATTTATCAGAGGGCATGGAAAAAGTGTCCTTGTCAATAAAAACGTCACAATAAAGATAGCTCTTTTCCACACTAACATAAACAAAACCACAAGTGTTTTTATTTGCTCTTAAGCTTGAGATACATTTTACTCCTGTGTAGACTTTGCTTTTACCTCTCGTTCTGAGTTTTCCTGAGCAGCTGGAGAGAAAAAATAATCCGGTTCAGGAGTGAAAAACTCATCTGATATGTCAGGAGAGGAATTGGGGGAACGAGTTAATTCACTTGAATGTTCCTGTGAAAGATGTTATAAAACGTCATAAAGTTATGATGCCTTCACAACTATGTCCGTATTGTATAATATACTCTTAGTCAACAACGTTAAATAATAACATGTTTGTTATTTTATTGTAATTTCAGACAAACCAATGAGCCTCCTTCACTCAGGCATATAACTTTTATTCTGCTTACATTTTTAATAATTCCACCTTTAGGATAGCTATTACATTTACATTATTTCTCTGGCATTATCCCTTCAGCTATTATGGAACTATTATGCCAGCAGCTAGTGTACCACCTTGTGCAGTGGGCCCACCAGATCCCAGGTAAGCAGTGCTGGAGGTATGTTAGAGGAGTGCTCTGAGAGACCTCACACCAGGACATTAAGGCTGGTCTACACTACAGGATTAGGTCAACATAAGCTGCCTTGCATCGACCCAGCTATGGAAGCGTATTCACTTAAATTTGGCTCCTGCCAATGTAAGTGCCCCTCTACATCGATTTAATAACACGGCATCCCTGAGCAGCGCAGAGTCACGGTCAATGTAACTAGGTTGACACAGTGTCAGTGTAGACACTGCTTTGCTTACGTTGACTGTTACTGGCTTTCAGAAGCCGTCCCACAGTGCCCCACACTGACAATACAATCGATACACATGCTCCTGATGAGGATACACACCGCCGACACAAGGAGCCAAGTGTGCACATACGCAAGCGATTTAATAACTGCAGTGGCTGTATGCCGACATGAGTTAGGTCAACATAATTCTGTGGCGTACACGTGGCCCTAGTACCATGAGAAGAGGAACTGTCAATTCAGTATGTTGTACCCTTCCCTCTGCATCTGTCCAGATGCCTGAAGCAGTGTCAGAGAGTACTGTGCTGCCAGAGGGACTATTTTTCAGACCACTTAAGGTCATTAAAATAGCCAATGGCATTTTTTGTTGGAATAAATGTCAACCCTGGCAACAGTCCAACTTGGATAATTACATACTGTCGACAGTACCTAAATTGCCCTGGAGTTTTTATTCACTTCCTTCATTAAACTGTTCTAATGTGCTGTTAAACCTCCCAGACATGTTGTAAAACAGATCTTGTTGGTCTGCCAGATGTGCTGTAAGGCCCATCTCTTTTCCCAAGCATTTGGGGAGGAGGTGGGTTGGTGGGAGAATCTAGTGGGTTTAGGGGAGGAGTATTATTACCTGGGCAATTTAATCAATGAGGGCCAGATTTTCACTAAGCATGTCAGTCATCTAACTCTCATTGATTTCAATGGGAGTTAGTCCCTAAACTGATAATCCCACTAGGTATCTAGCTGCATTTTTGGGTGTCTAAAGACACTGGAAAATCTGACCCTTGGGGTATTTATACTGTAATAACTGTCTATATGGCAGGAACTATTTTTATTTTATAAAACGAAGCTCTTGATGATTCACAGTATTAAAAGCCCTGTAATTCCGCAATATAAAATGTGCATCACACATTGATTGAGCCATACAATAATCGTACATATTGCAAACTCGGGGGGGGGGGGAAATCTCATCTCTTTATGGGCTTTACATGCAAAAAGGATGTCTGCTAGGTGTTTTGGGGTGCATTCCTGCCTAGTTTTTCTACACTGCAGGCATACATGTGCTTTGCCATCACTCTGTGAAAATTACTTTTAAAAGCACAAATCAATTTCAGATTTGGACATACCTTTTATTCTCCTACTCCCAATTTCTTTAGAGTCTCAATGTTAGATATTTCATTTGATTGTTGTATATTTCAGCCTACCCTCCCACTGCTCACATTGCCTTGGTGGTTTTACAGACCTAAACAACAAATGGAGGACTCATAGGAACTCATAGACAAAAGATCAGCAATATCTGGCTGCCTTCATTTTTCAATATGTAACGCACACAAAACAAATATACAACTACCTGTCACAAAACTGATCTCATAGATTACTAGTAGTAATTATATTTCTTGGATTACTGTACATACACAGCAGGGATTCTCAGCTTCTGTTGGACTGATTGAATTTTTAGAAAGGTTTGCTCCGCACTCTGCTTGCTCATCTTTTGCTAGAGACTGCCAACTTCTGCCTAACAAATTGAAGCATGTCAGAATGGAACACAATTATTATGCAAAGGATAATGCGGCCTGAATGGTTTGTGCAACTGATGGAATATAAATGTGACTAAATCTATGAATGGCAATAAAGCTACATGATCTATTGGGGAACGGAAAGATAATGACAACTAAATGCCCAATTCATAAAGGCAAACATGTGAATCTTCACTGAGGGTTGTCCTGAAAACGTTCTTCTTCAAAATGGCATCCATATGCATGTCACTAATGATTCATTTTTGAAAATCTCAATTAGCAACATATTAGGATCTAAGCTAGCACTATGCAGCAACAACGCATTGTATAAGGAACAAATCTCAGGCTCCATGCACATAAAATGCAAACCATAGGACAAGTCAGTCAGAACTCTGTCCTATGGCATTTGTCATTGTGTAGGGCTTGCTCTATGTGGGATCGGGTCATTGGTCTCATCTGGGGTGCGACTATTTCACTGACAAAACACAGTCATTTTCATCTATGGTTCTGTGTATGTGTGTTTGCCGTGAGGCCTGTCCTTGGTCATTACCCAGTGTGGGTGTGAGAAACATGAGTTTACAGTGAGACATATAGCAGCTGGATTCCTCTTTCGCAAGCCATCAACCTGATTTCTTCATGAGATCTCAGGGACAGAACCTCCAGGTGTGGGTCCACAGTCAATTAGATCTTGATTTCTAAAACTTCCTTTGTGAACTTAGCAGTGGCCTTTCTCTCGGAGTGTGTGTGTGTGTGTGTGTGTGTGTGCGCGAGAGAGAGAGATAACCCTGACTGTTACAAATTTTAAAATGGAGAGTATATTAGCGGTGCCTTTGGACCAAGTCACAAGCTCTTTGGAGAGCTGCTGAGGCCAATTCAGATACAATGCAGAGGCTGGGGAAATCCATATTTGGTGTATCTGATGAAGCCACATTAATCTACCTTGGCTGTAACATGGCAATGCATCTACTGGATTACCTCAAATTATCCCAGACTTGTAGGAGACCACAGCTCAGGAAGAGAGAAAATGAGGGTCATGTGACTTTTTTTACAGGAATCAGATTAACCGTCTGCCATGACAGCTACCATAGCACTGTCCAATAGACTTGTACAGAAATGTGCAGACATTAAAACTGGGGAAATATAGGCATGTGACCCTCTCTATGGGCTCTACCATGACAAGGGCTTTGGTCCCTCAATTCCCATCAAAGCCAATGGGAGCTGAGGGAGCTCAGTACTCCCCCGGAGGGGACCCCTTAGTGCATACTTCTCAGTTCAGTGCATAGTCTATGCTCTTCACTGACCTTCTTTAGGGGACAAGTTTAGAAGCAACGGTGGTCAATGATCACTCCAAAAGTCAAATAATCTCCAATCTCCCTGTGCAATCCCATCTGTGACCATAACAGTCTGACTGGAAAGGCAGGAAGACCAATTCCATCAGCTTTACCTGCAAAACTTCTGAATACAGACTCCAAGTCACTCTCCTCTGACTCATCCATCTCCTTCCTGCCCAGATCCTGGGTTTCAGTGCCGTCGCCTGTGTGCCACCTGCCATCCTTTCTCTGCCAGCCAGTACATTCCTGGCCCCTGAAGGTGATATGTGGAAAGGCTTCCTTCACGCTTTCTGCCTCGCTTTCTGAGGTGCATTCACTCGGCGGATACGGAGGGAGAAGTCCCAGCTGCCCAGACGCCACTCTTTTAGCCATTTGTTTCACTTCAGCTAGGCAAAAAGAATATACTCAAGGTTCACCTTCTTGGAACACTGGTCACAAACTATAGAGTCTCTCAGTACCCTCCTGCTGAACTCGCATGGAATTTGGACGTTCAGTCCTTCCCCTCTGTTGCTTCAGGCTGACTGCAGACTGCCCCAGAGCCACAGCCAAAAGGTTTTACTTTACAATCATACTAGCTAGAAACCTATTTCTGTTTTAATGAAAGTTTAAATCCTGCAGACACTGATGGGGAAATCTCTACACATACACATTCACCAAGGAATGTTGGAATGGGAATATACTGCCATCTAGAAGCTGTTGCAATGACTCACAAGGGAGAAATCCCATTCATAGACTTCACTGGATTCATTCCAGACTGTTCTTGCTACTCCTTCAAGAACTGTGGGCTAACATTTCCTATAGCATTTCACACCATCTTAATGTGGTTATGCTGAACCCACACATGCTGGATGTACTGGGAACACAGGATTTCCATTCAGAATGCAGTGTTTCCTCAAGAGGAAGATGAATGATGCCATACACTGAAGATGCCCCTGTTGCAAACACTGTATCTTTTTTTTTAAAACCATAGAAAAAACAGAAAGGAAGACACCAATGGCCTGACAATTAACCACCTGGACTATGGGCTCTATCTCGAGTACCCTACTCCATTTTTACTCAAAACTCCCAATGAAGTAGATTGGAGCTGCAGGTGTTCAGCACCTGTGAAAATCAGGCTGCCTTTAGGTGCCTACAAAGGCTTTACACTCAACTCGATGGCATTTCTTGGTCTGTCTGTCTGTCTTGTTGTAAAGTGATCATTTTTTAACATCACATGCGATCAATTCCAAAATTTCAGGGAATGTTTTAAGTATCAATGGCCAAACCCCTCTTAATGTGGGGGGAAATTAGAAAATTGAGAGGGAGAAAATGGGGGGCACGTGAAGTGGTGGCTAGCTCAAGCACCTGTAGACAATTGCCTACAAATCAAGCAACTTGTTCATGGCACCCACTAACACTTTCCAGCATAACAATATTCCTAACTCCTCTCTGTCTCTCCTCCTTACTGGGTTGAGTAGGTTGACACCCTGAATGATTTATCTCCACACAGAAAGAAGAATTATTGGAGGGGAGGGGAGAGAGACTGGGAGACCCTGATATGGGAGGAGGAGGAGGAATGGGGCACACAGAATCTCTTGGTGGGGGGGAGTTGCAGGGAAACCCTGTAGCAGAGGGTGATGAGAGAGTGGTACACAGGGAGCTTGTCAGGATGGGGGGAATTAGGACAGTCTAAACACAGGACGATATGGGGGGATTCTAGGAGCCCCAACAGCAGCATAAAGCTCTTTCATGAGGAACAAAAAGTCATTGGAAGGTCTAATAATGTGTTTTGGACATGTTAGTTAACTCCAGTGTTTAATCAACATTGCCGTTTACTCACTCTTCCATTCTGACTGCACCATCCTTCGCTCCTCACTTCTCCTTGTGTTATAAATTTCAGATGCTGATTTTGGAAAAAACCTACAGTAAATTGTTACAAGATGCATCGAACAAATCTCTGTTAATAAATACAGAAATGTATCATTAACCATTCCCCAGTTAGCAAAACACCAAGAGCTTTGGGATGCAAAGTCTACCCTTTAAAATTATATCAGCATAGCTATGTTGGTTGGGGTGTGAAAAAATGATATAACTATGCCAACAAAAACCCCAGAGTAGATGCTTCTGTCAACATAGGTAACATTGTTTGGGGAGGTGGTGCTCCTACATTGTCAGAAAAACTTCTGTTGGGGTAGGCTGCATCTAAACAAAGGGGCCATGCTGGCATAGAGTCCACTGTGTAGACATAGTCTAGGTCTCACACCATACAGGTTCTAAAAACCCCTCAGAACTAGCACATTGATTTCCCAATGGCCTAGATTGCAGTGGATGAGTTAGGCCTATTATGGATTAGCATGACACCACCAATGCTTTAGAATCTGATCCCCACAAGGTGCTGGGCATCTCCAAAGGACAAGCCAAAAAATCTTGGCATTAAGCCTTCCTCATCACCAAGTCTTGCTTTGAGCAGGAGGTTGGGCTCGATGATCTGAGGTCTCGTCCAACCCTAATCTTCTACGATTCTATATGATTCTAAGGCTTGGTCTACACTAAACCCCCAAATCGAAGTAAGGTACGCAACTTCAGCTACGTGAAT